ACTACTTAATGTATCACTTAAGGTTGTGGATATGCCCATTTATCTATTGGAACACATTTTCTACATTATCCCAAGTGTCACCAGCCACAATCTGAAGAGCAACTGTGAGACTACAAAGAAACAAGAAAAATCTCCTGTTATTAGCTACTGTGTGCTCCCTTACAGGGCGAATTAATTGAATTAATGAACTAGTTGAATTAATGAAATGTACCTCATTCTGTAAGAATATCCTGTAATATGTTGCATGCAAGCTAGTTTTAGTTCATTTTACAAGTAGGCCAGAAGCCAGAGAGAGCTTTCTTGGGCTCACCCATCTTTAAAATGTGAATCTTACAGAGGTGGACTCAGCTTCTGAATGGTTCAATAGGTTGTCAGTTCTCTGAGCTAGTTTGTCTCAACCTTGTCACTTGGGAAAGAAAAGAAGTTGTGGAGAGGGGAGGAGAAGTATTCTGGAGGTTTTATTCTGATTTTTATTATTCTTTTAGTTCTCTTAATAAAGTTTTCTTCACAATTTTCAAGTTTAGAGCCTGCTTTGCCTTCCTCCTAATTCATACCTCACAGCAGGAAATGAGTAAATAATTCTAGCAGGTGCACTGGCGATTTTAGCCAGTGCTAAACCCACCACATCTGACAACTGCACATAGGTTTCATGAGGGCCAAGAGAAATGGGGAGAAACTACATAAAAACTTGTGAACTGATGACCAGCTCTGGCATCCTGAAGCCTCATGACCACCTTCTTTTTTTCCCCTGGCTGGTCTGCATGCAGGTTTAGCTATCTGATATACAAATTTAATTATTTAGATAGCAGAAACAAAATCAAACCTTAACTGTGTTTTGCTTTGCATCGACCATAGAGGGCATTTGTGGGTTTGGACTCCACATTATTAAACTTGCCTTGTTTTCAAACTGAAAAGTCCTACTGAATCACAGTTCATCTACTTTCACTCAAGTAAAATCTCACTCCTTGTCTCCTTTCCCAGGACTAACTAGGTTTTCAACAATTATTTTGTTAATAAAAATAATTCTCTTAACAGCTTAATTTTATTACTGACTGATGGGAATGGTTTAGATTCTAACCTCTGTCATCCATTTACAGCTTAGATTCTTAGGGAAGCACCCTGAAAGGGATGATCCCTATTACTCTTAGCTCAAGTATATGTGGAATAAAAACTCTGCACTTAAAAGCTACTTATACTACTGAAGTATAAAAAGAGCTGTATTTTCTTACAGATACAGGCTTTGAAATTCCAGATTCATTTGTGGTTGGATATGCTCTTGACTGTAATGAGTACTTGAGCATTCCTCCACTGCCAAGTATCAGGTACCTGCCTACCACAGGTACCCAGCAAGGATATTTGCTTCTACTCAGAGCTTCTCAACAATTAAAAGAACCTTCAATTTCTTCTAGAAACTTCTATTAAAGAACAAAACCATTTTTAAGGTGCCGAGTTGGTAATGCAATGTAGGTGCATAAAAAATGTTTGTGCTTCACCTTTTTATAATTCTGCTCCAGAAGTCTCATGGCTCAGCCGTGCTGCAGGACATTCTGAACCCCCAGGATGGTGAGCAGCACACAATCTGCAGCTCCATCTGAAAATAAAATAACCTGTAATATGACTTTAATTGGATATTTGTCTTAATTCAACTCTATGTTGCTCTTCTGTCACCGAGTCTTTTAAAGCAGACATGCAGAGCCTGTGTGAAGGTTTTCCATACACTTAAGGATGACATGTCTGTAAGATCTCTCTACTCCATTATAGCTTCCTTAAGCTGCACAGAGTAGTAGATTTGGAAATATCATAAACTAATAGGGCTGATCTTTTTTCCCACCTTTGTTTTCAAAAGTACTTTCTTAATTCTGGTTAACTTGAAAAGTTTTTACTTAAAAGTCTTCTTACTAAGACAAACCAGTTCTGCTGAAGACACAAACAATCTGTGCTACTGCTCAGCAGCATCAATGACTATGCATTAATTTAACAAACCTAAATTCTTTATAACATATAAACCTATATATTTAAGATAAACTTGGAAAGAATATTAAAATCACAAGTTTACTGCAAGTAGGAAACTTCCAACAATTATGGTTCCAGTATATTTTTATTACAATACTGGAATACAACTGAAAATCAGTCTTGCATTTCATTTGAAGATAAAGGTTGGTAAACATTGTACTTTGGCGGGTTTTTTTGTTTGGTTTGTTTTTTTGTTTGGTTGGGTTTTTTTAGCACATCTGTATTCTGAAGGAGAATGCCAAAGAGAAGTACAGGATGCGATGGATGTGATAAAGTCATTCTTCTGGAGTACTAATTCCTGGCTGCTGATTAGGTGATAAACCATTACACCAGGAAATTACTTCTACTAGCGGTGTGTCCCTAAGAAGAAGAAGCAGCAGCTAAATGTTAGTGCCCAGGAGCTGCAGTGCGCTGGTTCCCAGCTGTACCGCACGGAACACACACGGCTCAGACGCTGTTTTTTCCCCTGGGANACACACACACAGCTCCCCTCTGGCAAGATTAATGTCAAATGAAAATTGAGAAGTCACCCTGCAGATGTTTTGAGACGTGGCTCTCCAGGGATATTTGCTATAGATGAGGGGAATGACTGGAGACTGAAAGTCTGGTTGAAATTACAGCCCACATCAGGAATTCTTTGCAAAATTTCCATTTTATCTTTTGATAGCTGTTGAAGAAAAGATGTTCTAATAAGGCAAAACATTGGTCTTCTGGCAATGTAGGCATTGTCACAGAAATCACTTTTCCATTGTATTTTTTGAGGAGGATGCTTTGGGCTGAGTTCAGATGTATCTCTTGGCACTCCAGTGGGCAAAAAGAAATATTGAGAATGCTCTATTTCCTGTTTTCAGTTGATGAGGAAGGGGGAAAAAACTGGAGGACACAAAATTTCCTTGGTCTTTACTTACATGCTACTGCTCCCCTGAATTGCACTTTTTAATGTTAAAATGTTCCAATCCCCTTTTGTTCTGAAAAGCCAAAAGAGCTGCACCAAGTCCACAAGGATGGACATCTTACAAGCAAGACCAGCCCAAGTCTGGGGTCACTCTCTAAAGAGACAGTGCAGATAAAGCTTTCATAGAGGAGAAATGCCCCCACTGTGCTGGTGTAGGAAAAAATATGGGTTTTGTGTGCTTGTCAATGGGTGGAGAGGGACTTGGGTACAGATGTGACTTGGCACTCCATGTGACCAGAGAGATGGCATGGGAGTCATTCCTGGGACAGAAAAATAAATTACTCAGCAATAGAGATGATACTTCTTCCCCAGCCCTGAAGAAAGGATTTCAGCTTGATGGGAAAAAATTGCATGGCAAGACTCACTGTTTTCACTACTTGATGCTTCTCATTGTAACCAGGAGTCTCATTTCATGTGTTTTTTAAATATTTCAAATCAAGGTCCCTTAGCTGAAGATATTAAGATTGCCATCATTTCACAGAAGCATGTCCCTGCTGATGGGAAATTTTAAAATGTTCCAAACAGGTTTTCTTCTAATTTTTCTTGGTTTTCAGTATTCCTAAAATCTCCTGATTCCGTTCCCACTTCTGTCTTCTCAGTCAGATTTCATAAAGAGGGTGGTAGTGAAAATGCAATTAGAAGGATCTTGAAATTGAAGTATTAAATTAAATAATGCTTGTGTATTTTACTGTGATTTTTTTTTCATGCAGTCTACTCCTTTTCTGGATTTTATGAGTTGTTTTTTTTTTTTCACTTGAGGAAAAAGTCTTGATCTATTATGTGAAGAGAGAAAATAAATTCCCTGGCCATATGAATGTTAAGGCAACATATATTAATTTAGGGTAAGGTCTTACTAGATGGGTATCCTGTAGTGAAACGTAAACGGCTTCGAAGTAATTTATCTTTTAATTTTCTAGGAGTTTTGGATTGTGGCAAATGGAATACTCATTTTCCATAAGTAGGTAATTAGAATAATTTCACGCATCTTAATTTCTGGTTTTCAAGAAGCTCTGATTTTGTGGTGTAACTAATGGCAGAGTGTGGTGCTTTCAGTCCTAAAGGGGGCGGAAAAAACAATTAAGTGCAGAGTTTTTAGTTCCAATTTCCCGGCCAATGCGCCAATGAATGCAGTGGATCTAATGCTGGCCAAATGCCAGGGCACCTGCTGGAATTATTTACTCGTTTTCTGTTGCGAGGCAAGAATTACGAGAAGAGCAAAGCAGCCTCAACATTACACCAGGAAATTACTTCTACTAGCGGTGTGTCCCTAAGAAGAAGAAGAAGCAGCTAAATGTTAGTGCCCAGGAGCTGCAGTTCGCTGGTTCCCAGCTGTACCGCACGGAACACACACGGCTCAGACGCTGTTTTTTCCCCTGGGAAGGAGCAGCAGGAGCCGGGTGCGGGGCTCCGGCGATACCGAGCGGTGCCGCCGGCCCGGCGCGTCCCGGGCCCCGCAGCGGATTCCTCCGGCTCCGCCCGGGAACCAGGGGATCGAGGGGAACCGAGGGGATCGAGGGGAACCGAGGGGATCGAGGGGAACCAGGGGATCGAGGGGATAGAGGGGAACCGAGGGGATCGAGGGGGAACGAGGGGCGCCCGGCACCACCGGCCCGGCCCGGCTCGGTTCAATCCCGGCCCGGTTCAATCCCGGCTCGGTTCAATCCCGGCCCGGTTCAATCCCGGCCCGGTTCAATCCCGGCCCGGTTCGATCCCGGCTCGGTTCAATCCCGGCCCGGCCCAATCCCGGCCCGGTTCAATCCCGGCCCGGCCCGGTTCAATCCCGGCCCGGTTCAATCCCGGCCCGGCCCAATCCCGGCCCGGTTCAATCCCGGCCCGGCCCGGTTCAATCCCCGGCCCGGCCCGGTTCAATCCCCGGCCCGGCCCGGTTCAAACCCGGCCCGGTTCGGTTCGGTTCCATCCCCGGCCCGGTTCAATCCCGGCCCGGTTCAATCCCCGGCCCGGCTCGGTTCAATCNCCCCGGCCCGGTTCGGTTTGGTTCCATGCCCGGCCCCGGCGATCGGGCCCGTGGTTGCCGGGTAACCGCGAACGCGGCCAGCGCGGCTGTGGCGCTGCTGCTCCACGCTCTGTCCGTGCCCAACGCGCTCCTGGCTGGGTGTTCGCAGCCTGGGCTCGGGCACGAGACTGCTCTGGGCGATTCGCCGAGAGAATTTTCACCGAGACTATTGCGAGTGTTCAATTGGCAGAGCATTGGTCTCTGCGAGGAAATCCCGAATTGCGTTTGAAGGTAAAGATTGACTAAAGTGCTACTTTGTGGCTTTGTCACATCTGTGCTCTCTGAAAGAGAATGCCAAAGGGAAATACAGGCTGTGATAGTGCCAGACTGCTGGTGCAGCAGTTCAGTGGCAGGTACAGCTGAGTGGATGAGCAATGTCTGGTCTACTGATTGTGCTTTTTTCACTGAAGAAACGCAACATTTTCTAAATACACCAGTCTGTACATTTTTTCCTATAATGATTACTTAAACTGCTTAAAGGTGAATGAGTTCTGTTCAAGTTTCAGAGGCTTCTTATCATCTGGTTATTAAAAATATTAGGGAGATGTTTCTGAATTAAGGTGCAAATGAGATCATATCCCAACATCAATAGTCTGGATTTTATGTAACAGTAAATGCAAGGAAGAGACAGAGAAAGAAATAGAAAAAGGGGTGGGGGAAGAAAGAGAGTGACAGAGACAGATGAAGTAGAAAACATCACCATTCCATGGATCCCATCGGCACACCATGTGGTGAGGTCTCACAGAACATAAGACTCCAATGGATGAACACAGATTTGGGCAAGGTGGGACTGCCTCTCTGGGACAGGACAAGTTTGACTCTGTCTCTTGCTACTTTCAAATAATATAAAATCTTCAGCACCAGTATATCTTTTGAGTCTGCCATGAATTGGGTTGTGGGTTTTCCGAGTTCTGTTCTTGCTCTTTCCAGTTTTGTTGAGGCATTGTTGCACATCTGTGACATCGTCTCTTCAAAATGGCTTCTGGACTCCGGAAAAGGACACCTCGTCTTTTGTTCAGGGAAAACCTGAAGCCTGCTAATGTAAGTAGCCTCTGGGGCTGTGTTAAGGCTGGAAACGCCGCTGGTGTCCCTCCTCTCCGTGCCCCTCCTGTTGTCCAGCAGCACTGTGAGGCTGCAGAGCCCTCCCCAGCTCTCTGTGCCGTGCTCCTGTTGCTGGGGGCTGTCCTGGTGCACTTGGGAACAGCGTGTGTTGCTCCAGGGACACTCCAGTGTCTTCCCTGGCTGTGCCAGCAGGGCCAAGTGAAACCAATGTCCAGCTGGAGCCCTGAGCATGCGCTTCTCTCCCTGCCCTTTGTCACAGCAATTCCTTCTGTCAGGCTGGACACTCACCTGTGCTGCTCTGGCCAACGTGCCCTTGGGCACCTGGGCATGTGGGCGGGGGGAAGCTCCAACTCTGCCCAAAGCCTTGAGAGACACGGCTGGTCCCAGCCAGAAGAGGTTCCAGAGCAGCTCTTCTCTCTCATCTCCTGCGTGGGGCACAGATCCAGCCCTGCAGACAGCACTGGAGTCAGGGCCACAAAGGTCCCTTGGCTGTCTGGAGCTCACTTGACTGAAGATGCCCTGCTGCTGAGGCTCTGTCAAGGGGATCCCTCTGTTTTCTTCTGTGGAGGGCTGTGTGAGCCCAGACAGAGCAAGCAAATGCTAATTAACAGAGGGAACTAGAACCTGGACTCATTCCTGTGCACCTCACTCTTGGTACCACTTTGCTTTCTTGTGTCTCTTGGACTCACCCAGCAGCGCTATCTCCTCGCTGTGAGTTTTGAGTGTTGTGCAGGGATGTTGTTCAGGGGAGTTCTGAGAACTCCTCCCCACTCTCTGGAAAGGTCACTGCCGCAATCCAATGGAACTAAAGAGGAAACAAATGCCCAAAGAGCAGAAATCCCCAAACATGTCACATCAAATCACAGAGACAGGGCTAATGGGACAGAGCCATGTGGTTGGAGTACGTGTATTGTGCTCTGTATTATTAATTTATTGATGCTAAGGATTTCATCAGGTAGCTTCCAGGGTTTCCAGCACTGTCCTAGTGTCTGTGGTCACAAATTAGTCACCAGTGCCACTTGTTCAAGAAAAGCCTTTCTGAAGAAGCACATCTCTGAGGCTCTTGCTGGTTTGTTATTTTGTTTTTTTGCATTTCAGCTCCTTCCCTCTAAGTTCCAGAAGGAGAAGTTTCTGGACACGAAGAAGGAGGCCAACACTGGGAGGAGTGGTCTGCCCAGAATTGGCCCAATTCTAGACACGAGTGAGACTGCTCAGAAGGTAACCTTTTCCTGCTCTTTTCCTTTTTGTTTGATGCAAAGTTTGAAGAGGGTGTGTGCTTGTGACAGGCTTGCCTCCAGCAAAATACCTCAGTGTCCAAGTCCTGTTGTCATTGCAAACTGCTGGTAGTGATGGACTTGGAGTCCTGATCTGCACCAAGCCAACACAAATGACCTCTGCTGAAACTGCTGGGGTTTGCTGGAGTGGAGCTGCCATTGCTAAAACAGTGGGGGAAGGCTGGGGACACAAAGGCACAAGATTGCCATTTGCCATTCTCTTGCTGAAACAGCCCCCTCTTGCTTTGCTGTGGTCACCATCAAATGTTTGGGGTCATAGGATTCATTCCACAGTGGCAGCGTTGGCCTTTGAAGGCCAAGGACCTGCAGTAATTACTTCAGATTTAACAAAACTAATTGCACTAATGCTTTGGGCTGGAACAATGTGTTGGGAGCCTGAGGGGTGTTAGATTTTGCAGGCTGCCAGATGTACAGGGGACTCGCCCTGGGCAGAGGGGAATGGACTGGTGCCTACTTAGAGGTGTGTTTAAAGTCTGTACTGGCTCAGCACAAAGCACAGTCCAAACGGGTAGGTGCCCGAGGTGGGTGTTGAGCAGGAAATTGGCAGCAAGAGACAGTTACAAACTGGTGAAGGATTGCCCTGGGGAGAGGGCTTGGGAACAGCTCCGAGAAGGGCACAAGTAAGGGACAGTGTGCTGCAGCCAGTCCCTTTGGCAGACTGTGTCTCCTGTGCAGTCACACAGGAGAGCTGCTGCTGTCTCTGGAGTGGCAGCAGTATGGCTGGAGAAGGCAGACAAAGCAGGGAAGTTTCTCAAAGCAATGTCTCTGCCCCAGAAGCATTTGCTACTGTTGTGTCATTCCAGACACGCCTCTACAATGGTATCAAATAAGATAGTAATAATAGACTACAAGAAAGCACCCATTTAAAGCTCGTGGAAAAAGGAGATACCAGCTCTACTCTTAGCCAAGTTTCTGAGAAAAGAACTGAACCTTATCCTCATTCCGCATTCAACTCATTTGTCTTTTTCCTACCTTCTATGTTACTTTATTTTTGCCTCTGTTAGAAAGGCACTAACTTTTAAATACAATTAAAGGGGACAAAGTCATCAAAGCAAAAGAAACTCTTTATTAGTAATGATTCAGCTGAGCCAGATGTGTCTCCCTCCCCCCAGAGATGAACAAACACCCTCCAACAGAGCAGCTTCTTTTATACCCTTTATAGCCGGCCGCGGCAGTCCCTGTCCCCTTTCCCTTTGGATGGGTACTCGGGAACTTACATTCTCTCTGGCTGCCAACTTTGCTGCCCCCTCTCCTCTCATCCTATTTCCTTTTCAGTCAGGTCTTCAACCCTGCCCCTCTGTCAGCTCACAGCAACACCCAACAAACCAACCTGAACAAATCCAAACAATCCAAATAACAGCACATAGAACCAATGGCTTTCATTCTTTCACTTAACAACCTTTTGGCTTCAGCAAAATACCACCTCATCTCTCACACTTCCTCTGGTACTGGCCTCTTCTTACTGATGTCTACGTTCTAGATCAAAAAAGATCTTTGCAGTTGTGTGGGCCTCAGTTTCCCTCTCTCGGAGTGAAGGACATCTCAAAATAGTTTCCCATGGAGTCTGATGTAAATTTGTGGGTTTTACTTATTCCATGAGTGTTCAGTCAGTGCCCCAGAGATCTGTGACCACATGGACACAGGGCTGTGCTTAAGGTAAGTGCTGCCTGGCATTCTGGAGAAGGAAGCCTGGAGAAATACATGCCAAAAGAGCAGCTTGGCTTGAGCCTGCTCTGTGTGCCCCAGCAGCTCTTGAGCAGCTCAGAGCAGAGATGGCTGAGCTACTGTTTTCCCAGTGTGGCCTGGGCAGACGTGCTCACCCAGAGTCTGCACTTCACTGGGGATCAGAGTAAGATTCATGAAGATTCATGAACCTCCCAACAGCTGAACCTCCCCCTGTTCTCTCTTGCCTCTCCAGCTGCCGCCAGTTCCCCCGAAACAGAGCCTGTTTCGGGTTTCCCCATCAGAGCTGGTATTTGAGAACTTCGTCGCTCATGAGGTCTCTGAAATGGAGCTGGCTCTCACAAATAAGGACAAGGTAAGTGCTGGGATGTGGAGCTTTAACGCCGTGCTGGAAGAGGGGAGTGGTGTTATTCCCATAGTGTACAGCAAAGCAAGTGATCTGCTGCAGCACACCCAGAAGAAAATGTCTCAGCACCTTTGTTCTGCAGGATGGTGGAAATCTTGTGCCAGGAATTCTCCCATGATTTTGGCCATGCATGGATGGTATCTATCCCAAAGGATCTTCCTTCCCTTGAAAGCTCTGTACTGATAGGAATGTGGAGGGCTGTACAGTTCTTACCTGCTCTCATGCTTTGCCTTGAGTCTGTACCACATCCCGTGTCTCCTTGGGTCCTGGTAGGAATCTCTGCCTCTCTCAGCCTGTTTGGCTCCCTTTGTGCAGCTCAATATCAAAGCTCAGGGGCTGAATCTTCTCCACTTTATGCTGGAATCACTTTTCACTAATGGCATTGGTACTGCAGGAAATGTGTTCTGAAACAGCCCTGGAGTCAGACTGATGCAGCAGAAGCAGTGAGAGGCCTTTAGGTGCCACTTCAGGCTCCTGCTAAGCTTCATCCAGCTCTGCTCAGGCTTTCCAAAAGCAACGTGGTGCTCTGCTTTCCCTTTGGAGAACCACAGCACGTCCAAAGCCATGTGCTCCTGGAGGACTTCACCTTCACTTGAAGCAATTGTGATTGTTTTGCAGTTTCCCAAGAGTGCTGAGAGGGGAAAAGTTGAAAAATGTCAGCAGTTGTGTTCCACTGTAAAGAGGAAAACTGAAACCATTTGAATTTCAGTTGGGGAAACATTTTCTCAGATGAGGCTTGTGCCAAGAGTGGGCTGGTGGGAAGAGACAGGAGGGAGTCAAAATCATCTGGTTTAGATTTTTTGAGAGCATTTTGGTGCTCAGGGGTTGACATCTATGTGCTAGCAAATGCACATTTGCTGTGTCTGTGGATCCCAGAGGGCAGAACCTGGCCTGCTGGCTGCAGGCAGGAATGCCCAGAGCCCAGCTTGCCTGCACAGGCAGCAAGAGCCCCTGGAGAGCCAAGACTGGCTTTTCATTCTGGAACCACACGGTGAGTCAGTGCCGGTCATGTTTCTCCAGGCAGAAGATGCCTTTGAAGCCCACAGTCAATAGGCACAGCCTGTCTGTGTTTCTGTCTCTTTTGGCAAGCTGAGTGCTGTCATGGTTTTATGATTCTTCCTTGCTGCTTTACTGCCCATTTAATTTCTCTTTGCCATCTCCTTGTTTTAGGGATTGTCTTTCTTTGTCCTTCTTTGCCTTTTCAGGTTTGCTTTTATTCCCAGGGAGGCCACAGTGTTTGGTCTCCTCTCTTGCTGGTCTGCCTGCCTGACTGTACCCCCAGAACTGCCCTACCCACTCCTGATCTGCTAGAAGGGAATTTCTTCCTTCCCCCAGGATAATGTGCTGCTTTGCTTTCAGGTAGCACATCCCCTGTCTGGAACACCACTGCATGGCTGTGTGCAGGCAGAAGCCAGCAGGTTTTTGGTCTTGTTGAATGTGCAGATGACTTGGTGCAGGTGCTCTGTCTCCATCCTGCTGGTGCTGACCTGCTGGGCCCTTCCTTCCCACCGGGCACTGCCCTACTGCCCCTGGCCAAAATGCTGGACCCAGACAGAAGGGATTCAAGTTGTCCCTTGTGAATGATGTGCCTGTACCTCCACAGCTGAAAGTGCTTTGGAAACGGGATCAAGGAAGGATGTCACCAGGGCACGGACAGGTCTCCTCTCAGCCTGCTTCCACAAGTGGCAAAATCACTGTCTCATGTCTTCCCTGCAGTTTCTCCAGCTGGTGAAGATCTCCATGGAGTTATCACCTCACTTCAGGCTGGCGTACGCCAGTGTGTCTTCCCTGCAGTTTCTCCAGCTGGTGAAGATCTCCATGGAGTTATCACCTCACTTCAGGCTGGCGTACGCCAGTGATGCGTACCATACGGTACCACCAGGCGCGACCATCCGTGTGCGCATCCAGTTCACCCCTGACGAGAGCAAGGTGAGACTGGAGGAGCCAAAGCACACAATTATCTCCAAAGCCATTGTTTCCCTGCACTCTGGTACAGCCCATTCCATGCTGTGAGCTTGGCTCCAGGCTGGGGGCAGGCAGCCTGCAGGCAGGCTCACCTTGGCACGTGCTGTCAGGGGCTGCAGCCAGGCCTGACAGGCCCTGCTTCCCCTCCCTGCACATTCCTGAGCATTCCCAAGGGAAGATGCACAGGGAACAGGATGAAAATGACAGAGGGGTGTTGATAGATGTTTGGCCATCTCTAGGTACAGTGGAAGGGTTTCATTATTATGGAAAACACTGGAGGAATGAAGAGCTCAGAGAGCTTTCCTCCTCCCTGACTGGCAACAGCTTCCCTGCCTCACCCTGGCCTGGAGCAGAGATGGTGCTTTTTGCCCCCTCTGTTCTCCAGCCTTGCAGCTGTGCTGTCCCACAGCACAAGTGACCAAGGTACAGCTGCAAGGCCAGGGCAGAGGATGTGCTGTGCCCGTGAGCCCAGCCTGGCACAGGCACACTGAGCTCCAGGTGCCCTTAGCAGGAGGTTGGTGAGCTGCAGAGGACTTGGGCACCTGCTGAAAGAGCTGCTGTAGGGCAGGTACAACCTGCAGGCAGAGCTGTGAGCCCAGAGCCTGTGGCAGTGACACTGCTGTGGCTCTGTCTTCATGCCTGTCACTGGGGCTGCTCTGTCCACTGGCACCCGTTCCGTGCCAAACCTGCTTTGGTGTGGGGATTTGAGCAGCAGTGCCGAGGCCCTGGCCAGTCTGATCCCAGTGCTGGCATCTGGAGGGCCAATGCTGGGATCTGGAGGTTTGTTCATACAGAAGGGTTCAGGACATGGCAGGGAAGGGAGGAAGCCTTGCAGGGAAAAAAAGAGAGGCTCTTTCCAACAGCATCCTGCTACCTCTTAGCACTGTTCTTCTCCTGACCTGCTTGGAGAGGCAAAGTTAGAGGGGAGTTGTGAGCCAAATCATGTTTCTACACCGGGCCAGCGGTGCCGGATCTCTTTGGGTGCAGCTGTTTTCTCACCTTCCTTTTGCTGCTTAAAGTCAGTTTAACACTTTGTCCTATTCTCAAACAGTGGGAATATAGAAACCTAAAGAGGAATGGCCTGTGTTCCCTAGCTCCATGTTCCTTAGAAGGGACTTGGGAATTATTTAACATCATTAAAATTTACAGTAAAAGTTGTGGCCTAGGGCATTTCTCTTTATGACCCTAGTGACACAACAAGCTTAATGCCACCGAGATGGGTTTTGCAAAGTGCACTGGTGCCTTTAAAATGTGACATATTAGCAGAACTTAGTGTTCATTTTGGGGTGGAATAGGTAAATTGATGTCCTTGAAGGGTTATAGGAAATGGGTTTTCTTCTGTCATGGGGATGACACTAAATGCTCTGTCCTGAGCTATTTCCTTTTCCTACAGGATTATTCTCATGAGCTCGTCTGCATCACCAAAAGAGAGAGGATAGTTGTGCCAATTCGGGCCATTGGTGCCCGAGCTATCCTTAACATCCCTGACCAGCTGGACTTCTCAAAGTGTTGGGTGAAGTGCAGCACTCAGAAGACTCTGATGGTTCACAACACTGGTAACCTGGAAGCTCATTACCAGATAAGCACCCAGAGGTGAGACAGCTCATCTGTCCTTGTGCAAAACACCTTTGGGTGATAACAGAGTCGGGAAAGAGCAACAAAAGGAACCTGAGCATCGGAGCTGCTGTCCTGCAGCCCTGGCTGGAAATGGGCAGGACATGTGGGGGTTGCTGTTACATCTCATGTTTTAAGCACGATGCAACCTCTGAGCTTCCTCTGTCCCAGATTTCCTGGAGGGTGCTGGAACATGTTAGTAGCTGGCTTGCACGCTCCTGAGCACAAGCAGCTTCTGAAATGGTTACTCCCCACTGTCAGCCAAATAGCCCCATTCTCTGGGAGGCCACAGGCACGTGGCTGCCCAGTGGTCCTGTCATGAGATGCCCCATGTGAGCTGTGTTGTGGACAGCCTGTGCTGTTCCTTTTACTTAAAGCTGATCTGATTTCCCTTGTCAGCTGAGGGCATCAGTCTTCTGTTCCATGATGAACCTTTGAAAGCCAGTTTAAAATTTCAAACAGATGATTTAAATCTCTGAATAAGGTCATGCCCCTTTCATTGAGGTTTCTTTTTAAATACTCTGAAATTCCTGAGTTTCTGCTGTTTTTTCATTTTGGTTTGTGCTATTTGTTGGCCAAAAGATGATGAATTCTTCACTGGGAACTTCCATAAGGGTTGAGCTTTTCTGATGGCTATCAATATACCACATGCTCATAGGTATAGGCACAGGTGTATAGAACATATGAGACATTTAGTGAATATGTGAAAGGCAATTGGGCTGACTTAGAGGATATAAGTATAGAATAACTTTTGCTGGAGGGGACCTCTGGAAATCATCAGAGCAAACACACTGCTCAAAGCAAGACGAGGGTCTGGGGATTGCAAGGTGCCATTGGGAGATCTGGACCTGTCTTTAGATGCCATACAAGAAAACAGACATACAAATGGACCTAGTTAAAAAGCAGAAGATAACAAGCTATTCAAACCCCCTCCATTTTCTGCCCGTCGGGTGCGGTGCAGTGATTCACTGAAAGGGTAGATCTAACAGGATGAGAACTATCTTAAGGAACAGCTCACAATTAACAGATAAAAGGCCAAAATTTAGCCTGCCAGCCCCATCTCTTGGCAGTGGTTTTCATTTGGTTATTACAGTGTCAGGGATGTCTCCTTCACAGCTCTTCTATCTGTGGGCTCAGGGAACAGCTTAGGGATGCTGGCTGAAATTCAGAGGAGTTAAGTTTAACTGTAGAGTTTGTGTCCTTGGGTCTTGGGGAGCTTCATCTTTCCTTGCCTCTCTCCAAAAGTCTCATGTCCAGCTCATAAACACTGCTGGCCCAAGGCTTCTCCATCAGCCAGTAATTACTCACTGGTGGTAATGGGCCAGGCCCACAACTGCAGCAATAGGTTCTTAGTGAGCAGAACCTGAAGCAAGTCCATCAGCTGTCACTCCTGACATGAATAAAATTCAGCTTTTCAGATGTTCTCTTTATTTTTGTGTGTGATGCATTCGTCACCAAACTCTCCAGAACACACTTTTAAGTGACAGTGACCACCAGCAAAGCACCAAGGCCAGGAACTTGTGTTTCCTCAGTGGGGCTGTAGAAGAGCACAAAGCCCAGCAGCTGCTGGGCAGAAGCACATTTCACCTGAGCTGTCCCTGAGCATCAAAGCACAGAGTCCTGTGTTTGTCAGGCAAGAGCTGTTTAGCTGGTGACCAATCCTAATTGTTGCCTAAACGCACCAACACATTTGCATAATTAGTTCCAACGCATTGCACAGAGTTTATCTGGTGGGCCAAGCAAACAGTTACCAGCCTGGATGATAACACAGAGTCCCAGACTGCATTGCTGGTAAATACACAGAAACCTCCTGTTCTGTGTCCCTGCTGATGGTGCTTCATTTAACTGGGATTGGATCCTTCAGATTGTAAATGGCATCTTTCTTTTGGGTCTTGTTTCCATGTCACTGTGTTGCTCTACTCTGCATTTGCAGTCTTTCAGAGTTTTGATTGCTCCTTTTCTTAGAGCAGCTTTCATTGAAATGCTGATAAAATGTGTCCTTCTTAGGCTAAATCAGGATGTTTTCAAGGTAAAATAAACCAAAGAACCACACTGCAAATTCAACAGTAACTATTCTTTGGTCTTCAAGGAAAAATTCCTTCTCCCTGTCAGATTCCTAGGCTGTGTTCTCACAGGACAGGTAGTGCCCTAACACTTGGATCTTTGAGATGAGGTTGATAGGCAGCAGGACAAGAGTCTCCTGAGGTCTGTATCCCCTCAGAAGTGGGTCAGCAGCTGTTTCTGATCCTGTTTTGTCTCTTTTCTGTTGCCTGAGGTTTCTGTGCTCCCTGCTTGCCCAAGGGAGCCGAAGTGACCTGCGCTGCAGAAGGAATGTCATCCCCAGGTGTCCCCTGAGTCCTGATCTCTCTCTTTGTGTTGCAGTCCTTTCTCCGTGGTTCCAACCACGGGAACCCTGGGCGCTGGTGACAGCATGCAGGTGACAGTGGAATTTCACCCACTGACAACTGGTGACCATTTTGGGTCCGTGGTAGTGTGCTACAACAAAGGTGAGTGCTGGGCACTGCACGGGGCACAGGACAGTTCTCCACCACCACTCCCTGTTGTCCCAGCCGCCTCAATTCCCTCTAGATGTACCTCCCCTGTTCCAGCTCAACCCCAAAGAAAACTCAGAACCAGTTGGTGTTTAGGGGGCTGATAAAGTGCATCCCCTCTAACAGGACTAAGATTTTTGGGCTCTTGTTTTGTTGGGAGTTGGTGAGTGGAGGAAGGAGGAGCCCTGATTCTCCACTGCCATGTGGCTATGCCTGGCTGAAGTTTCATTTCATTCCTGGCCAGTGCTGTATGTGAGGTGTGAGGTCTCCATCAGACTCTCTCCAATGCAGTGTATTTCTTGCACACCTCTGTCCCATAGGCTGCTGCTCCACTGGCTTGTCACAGACCCTTTTCTATGCTGCCCTCTACACATATATGTAGTTTCTGTCTAACAACATTTTCAGGCTCTCAAGTTCCTGTTTGGTGACAAATCAAGACAAGTTTTTCCTTGTCCCCATTTCCCAGGCCGTTCCTGCTGTTGCAAACCTCTCACATCTATCTCCCATTTGATTTCTAGACTGAGGAATCCTATTCAGTCTTCATATAGAAGCTGCTCTGTACTTATTAATCTTTTCCTTTGTCCCTTTTTAATTTAATTTGAAATGCTCCAGCTTGGTTTTTGAGATCAGAACAATGTAAAATATTTCAAGAATGATGTGGCTGTGGGTTTGGACAGGGAGATGGAGACGATGATTTTCATGGTGTTCATTTTGTAGTGGTTTGTCATATTGCAGAGCCAGGCTGGTTGTGTTTCCTCACCTGGGTCCCCTCCTGCTGTGGGCTGTCACTTCACTTGCTCCTCTGGGCCTCCTTTTTCTGCTCACATGCCCCCAGGTGGATTTGCTTGTCAGCAGCAAGGGATCCAAGGGATCAGGAGAGACAGGAGTCTCATGGGATGCCCAGGGGAAACCCCAGACAAGCCAGGACTGAACAGGGCTCCTCAGCATCACCTGAAGGACTTTGATGCAGAAATTTCAGTGATCTGAGTGGAGTGGAGCCACCTGAGCACATCTAACAAATCTCATGGTACATGCTGTCACCTTGGGGCCAAATCTCTACAAACACACACAGAAATAAAGTGTTTTAGGAGGTGCCCAGAACATCCTCACACTGTACACACAGAGCTGTCAGGATGTGATAAATGTACTGATCCATAGAACTGCTAATATAGCTAAAAGCTGTGACACTTTCTTCTGTGACCTGTGGTTTGCTCTGTCCCTTGCTGTTCCATCAGCAACTGAGCTGAGCAAGGACTCCCCTTTGCTTTGTTCCAGGTGAAGAAAGTATCCACACAAACCTTCACGGAGAAGCTCTAGATGTCAACATTGGGTTGAGCACATATTCCGTGGATTTTAAGAAGACTTTCATCACCATGTCAAACCACACAACCATGTTCATTGAAAACAGGAGTAACATCACAGCCCACTTCCAGTGGAAGACTTTCCTTAGTGAGGAAGATGACAATAGAGAGAAGAGGAGGTTGGTTTGAAAGATGCATTTCAGTGAGATACATGGCCCAAGACTAAAACTAACATATGGCTCAGGGGGTGTTGGTGCTTTTGAATGGCTTAGGCCAATTAAACCATCCCTGGCATTAGGGTGTGTCCCCCTGGGTTTCAGGAGCTCAGCACTTAGCATTCCAGTTCCATTTATACCCCAGCCAAGGATGGCATTTTGGGAAGGAAAGGTTGATGGCAATGACTGGATTTCCTCAAGTTCTAATTGGGCTTTTGCCTCTCTAATCTTTTTCCTACATGACCTGGCAACATCCTTAAATATTTCCTGAGTTTCCAGCCCCTCTTTTCCTTTAGTTTCTTCAAAAGCTCCTCACCCATCCAGGCTGGTTGTCTTCCCCATCCGCACTATCTTTCAGCACACAGGGACAGTCTGCTCCTGTGCTTTCAAGACTTCTTCCTTGAAGTATGTCCATCCTTCCTGGACTCCTTTGTTTTGAAGGGTTGTTTCCCAGGGTACTCTCCAGAACAGGCCCAAGTCTGCCCTCCAGAAGTCCAGAGTGGAAGTTTTGTTGGTGCCCCTCCTTGTTACACCAAATATTGAGAACTCTGTTTTTTCACGGTACCTGTACCCCAGACAGTGGTGAACAGATGAAGTTCATTTAATTATTAGGGAATCTTCTGGTGATATCCAGTACCTGGACCACAGCAGACTTCCCTGTGGAATGGATCTGGTCGATATACAGGGTCCTCAGTTTCCCTTAGAAGGGAGCCACCTATTACCACTACCCTTCTTTTCTTCTTAGTACTTGAGGTTGTGATCTGTCAGACAAAGTGCAACTGGGAGACTCTCCAGACAAAATTTTTTCTTTAGGGTCAGATGTTTTCATTTAGTGTCATGCCTTACCCTCTGGATCCAGGGCCTCATACCTATTCTGTCTGAACAGGTGCTGGGGGTCAGGATGGCATTTTATTACCTCCCCAGTAGAGACCCTTTCCATTGCCCACTGCCTCCTAGGTCTCCTCCTTCTGCCTGATCGCAAGAAGGGCAGGGCAGGGCTCCTCTGACTCCTGCTGAGCTCCTCTCAGGCTTGGAAAGGTGTAACTCCACCAATTTATTTCTGTTTCGCTCTCCCAAATGCTCCTCAGCCTTTCCACTTCTCCCTTAGGCTCTGCCACCAGACAGAGCAGAGGATCCACCTGCTCACACTGCACACAGGTGTCCTTCACACAGTGCTCTGGTGTTAACACCAGGCTCAGACCCTCCCTGCACCAGGGGCCTGCACAGCTGCCTCCTTCCTGGGGTTCTGTTTGAGTCAGTGCACTCTTGCTGGCAGCAGCAGCAATGGCTTTTGATCATTTGTAAACCATTGCTGGGGGAAGATGAGATAAAAAGGCAGAAAGAAGAAAGAAAAAAAAGGCAAGCACCTCACAACCATCCAAAAGACACAACCCACTGCACAAGGAGGGTGGGTGGCTGCAGCCTTTCTGCTCAGCCTGCTCGTGCAAACTGTGCAAAAACTGAAAAACACCGCGCAAACTGCACAAAAACTGCCGTGCCAAAACTGCCGTGCCAAAACTGCCGTGCCAAAACTGCTGTGCCAAAATTGCCGTGCCAAAACTGCCGTGCCAAAACTGCCGTGCCAAAACTGCCATGGCAAAACTGCCGTGCCAAAACTGCCGTGCCAAAACTGCCGTACCAAAACTGCCGTGCCAAAATTGCCGTGCCAAAACTGCCGTGCCAAAACTGCCGTGCCAAAACTGCCGTGCCAAAACTGCTGTGCCAAAACTGCCATGGCAAGCCCTCATTTGCTGTGGCAGGCCCTCATTTGCTGTGGGCCAGGTCACTCGCAGTGGCTGGAAGAGGGTCCTTTAGTGCCTTGGTTTTCCACTGTTCTCTGTCCACTTACAGTGTCTGACTTCCATGCAAGCTCTCTGTGTTAAAATCCCATGACTTCTGCCTACTTCCCTGGGCTGTTTATTTCCATTTTTTCCTACTTGCCTTCCTCAGCCTGGACCCCAGGTGATCCCCTTTCCCCTTAGAAGCAATTAGGTTTCCCCAAAGTAAATTTCAACCTGCTTTTGGTTTTGTGGGGTTTTTCCCAATTACATTTGTTTTCGTGCCATTTTATGACCTAGACTGTCACCAGCACATTTTGTTCTTCCTTCCTTCCAGTCTTAGGGATGGTTTTAGCTCCAAGGCCATTGTCCTGCTGTCAGAGAAGCTTTTGAGATCTCAGAGCAGAGAGGACTTTTTTATGAGAGGAGATTGTGCATTCCTTTCCTTCTGAGGACATTCTACTACCATGCACTGGGATGGGACCCAAAAAGCTCTGGAACATGAAAAGGTCTCTCTGGGAGTTTGCTGTCTCCCTGCTGCACAACAAAGGCCCTTCCCATCTCAGAGCCTCTGTTTTCATGCATATAAAGCCTTGAATGTCACTGAAGAGATGCAGTGCCTGAATTCATCCATTTCCTTTGGAAGTGCTCTGGGATGCTCTTGTGAAAGGTGGAGTAGGGAACAGGGCAGGTCCAAAATGGAAGAAACAAAGAGTGATGCTGGCAACATGTAGCTGCAACCCAGATTCATCTCCCCTTCCCAGGGAAGTCCTGCAGTGGGTGCTCTGTGACCTTTATCTGCCTCCCCCAAGCAGCTCCGTGGGGAGCTGAGGTGGCTGCTGGATTCCCCCTCAGTTTTGGCAGAGGCTTTGAGCCAGAAGGTTCTCTTGGGGATGCTGGCTTTGGAAACCTCTCCTGATCTTGCAAGTGTGGAGCAAAACTACTTGCTGTGCCAGTGAACAACAAGTTTTACCCTCTGGTCCATTTGGGACCCCCAAGGCTTGGGGTCAGCCCTTGCTGGGGAGCTGCTGCTGCTCCTCCCCAAGTGCTTTGCTCTCCTGCACTTACACTTCTCTCTACAAATACAGGGCTTATTGAACAATTTGCTGGCTTTGTCTCTCCCTGTGGCTGCAGGCAGTGTGATTTGCTGCAGCCACCAAAAGAGGTCTGGGTGGAGAACTTAATGGAGGAGAGAAGAATAGCGATGAAGACGGGCTTCTGTGAAGATCGCACTGCCATCCTGAAAAGGAAGGTCCAGAAGAAGATGGCAAAGGTGCAAGAAAACCCCATGCTGTTCTCCAGTGACATTTTTTACATTGAGCCAATGGTAAGTGATAGCTGAGAACCTCACTTTCCTCCTCTTCCTTCTCTTCTTCCTCCTCCTGCTCCTCCTCCTGCTCCCACCCATCCCACCCCTTCCCCCCTTCCCCCGGCTGCATCTCTGGGCAGATCCTCAGCAGGCTCCATGTGCTGAGAGGGAAGACATGGAGTTTCTGGTGCGGCTGCAGAGCTCCTGCTAAAAACATTTCTGCCCTGCAGGCTCAGGGCAGGGCTGGGAGCCTGACAAAGCCGAGCTCTGCAGCCAGGGTTCGAGCTCAAGGGCACTCCGTGCGTGTCCTTGCCGTGTCCACAGGGACCAGCTGTTGTAGGTAGGGGCTCCCCTGAGCTCCCCTGAGGTGTGTGGGGTTTAGCAGAGGGTGGTGGAGCACTGCCAGTTCACATACTGACCTGAAGCATGCAGTGGTTCCCTGGGAAAAGGAGGCCAAAGTCAGCCCAAGATCAATTAGAGAAATTCCAATCCCTTCCTGTACCCACAACTTGCATTATTTCTGAGTCTCCCTCCCAGTGTCATCTGTGAGCCTGGACAAAAGGGTGGAAGGTTTAGATGGGCCTTTAAATTTTCTTGCAGACAGGGACAGAAAACCTTTTCCTTTTCTGTTTATGCAAGCAAACCCCCACATCTTCCCATCAATCAGAGCCCTGATTCTGACTATTGGCATTGTGAGAGGTGATGAATTCCTGGTGTCTGCACAGTGCAAAATCCCTTCTCATCTTGGAATAGTCCCAACCCCTACTTTCTTTCAAAAAGAAAGTTAAACTAATATTTTTATTTCCCAGGGAGGAGATCATGGTCTCTCTTGAGAAGAGCCACCAGTGCACAGTGGCAGTTACATACTGTAGCTGACAGCAGCATGATGTGACCAACAGCTTGTGTCAGAGCAGTGGGAATGTTGTGGAGAGTGGGAGCTGATCAGCTGAGCACTGAGAGCTTCCAGTGTTGAGCTGGGTTTGGAGCGTTTCCTTGGGCTCCTTGTGTTCTTCACTCATCATTGATACTCTAAATAAAGGCTTACAGGACTGTGGTTGAAAACAAGAAATGGGAAGTTTGAAGAACATTTTTTGCTGTCTCTTTCTGTTTTAGGAGGGGGTGATTGGGCCAAATAGTTCAGCCGAAATCAAGGTGACCTTTAAACCCCAAAAAGCCCTAGAGTATCGAAGTGTGGCTTACTGCAATATCTCAGGTACAGCTCCTTTCCCCTGCTTCTCTCACCCCTACTGAAGCCATGGTGCAAGCCTGAGCCCCCTGGGCTCCCCTGGAACTGCTGGGAAGAGTCCCTGGGCAGCAGGGCAGTGCTGGCACATCCCACTGCCCCTGCAGCTTCCAGGGAGTCTCCTGTGCAAGGCCAGGGTCAGAATCCTGGGTCTGGGTTACTGATCCCAGAACAACCCAGGCACTGCAGGGAGAAGTTTTCATGGCACGGCTTTGCCAGCATTTCCTCAAAGGCCAGAGCAGAACAGCTTGAGAGAACAAGCACTAAGCCCCTCTAGACCAGTGACCTCCAGGATGGGTCCATTTGGCATGGATCCATCATCAGGCAGCAGGAGCTGAGTTAGAAATGTGCTCCCTGAGCCTGGATCACCTCCCACTGCCCAGACACCACCAGACCAGAGGTGGCTGAGCCCCACTGAGCCCATGGTCTTTGTAGAAGTATCACCCTTGGCCAGCATCTGCTTCTCTCCCTGTGTGGGAATTGGCACCTTGCAGTTCCCAGTCTGTGGAGATAGAACACAATGCTGAGTGTCAGAAGTTGAGGACTTTGGCAACAAAGTCTTGTGCTACTGGGCCAGGTAGTTTGGCAATTGCTGCCCAACAATCTGCCAGGTACAATTGCCAAACTCTTGATGAGCTTTGTGCCTTCACTGAATGGATTTCAAAGCTCCTCTAGGTGCATGGGAAGGAAACCATAGAATCATGGTATGTTAGGGATGGAATGGACCTTGAAGATCGTCCAGTCCCAAGAGCCCTGCCCTGGGCAGGGACACCTCCCACTAGAGCAGGTAGCTCCAAGCCCCAAGCAGCCTGGCTTTGAACACTCTCAGGCTGGAACCTCCACAACTCCCCTGGGGAGCCTGCTCCAGTGTCTCACCACCCTCACAGTAAAACATTTCTTCCTAATAGCAAACCTAAATTTCCTTTCTTTCAATTTATACCCATTACTCCTTGGGCTGTCATTACAGGACATCAGAGATGTTTTAAACTCAGCAAACTGGTGGCTAAAATTGGAAACCAGCCCAAGGAATGGGTTAGAAATTGGAAGTCAGCCCCAAGGGAAATGTCCTGAGGGAAGAGAAGGGTCCATATCTTCTCTTGCAGCGTCAGGAGCTGGTTGCATCCAGCTCAGAGCCAGGGGCTAGCATTCAGGCAGCCTGGAAAATACAGTATAACTGTGGGAATTATTCTACTGAAATGGACATCTCTCCCCAGGCCGTGGGAGCAGGCTGCCCCTGCACCTCCGAGGGGAAGGCCAAGGACCCGTGGTTGAATTCAGCCGTCAAATGCTGAAACTTGGGAACATTTTTGTCAACACCTCCCACGTCTATGAGGTGAGCAGCAGGGGTTGGGATGGATCTTGATGGCTCCTGAGGCAGCAGCAAGCCTGGTGGACCTGTGGAATTCCTGGCAACATGGGCAGTTGTGGGCAGGGAATATTTGATGTACTGGTCAAATCTGGGGGGGTCAGAAAGGTGTGTCTGCTGTTCATGAAGCCCCAGTCCCTGCTTTTTGGCAGCCAGCCTTGGGGATCAGCTCAGAGGCTTCCTGCAGAACAGCCCCTTGGCATATAAACCAACACTGGGTCAAAAAGCTGCATGTTCAGAGGCTTTTGTGGCAGCACCAGACACAAAGCACCTTTGCACTGGGCTGTTCAAAAGTAGCTGGAACAACTGGCTGCATTTCAGCTCCAGTCCACTGCAAACAATTCTCAGTCAAGTGTCTCCTGCTTATTCCTAGAAGTCACAGGAAAGCCATCCAGCCTCCTGGCTCAGTGCTGGCCCTTGCAAAGGGCTTGGGAGTTCTTTCCCTTGCTGACCACTCCCTCACCACGCTTCTGCCATGGTGTACTTCTGGCTCCAGAGAGAGAAAAGTGTTCCTGGGAATAAAGCAAAGGATTTTTCTACCTGTTTGCCTCTCCCCCAGTAGTGTCAAGTTTGCAAAAAAAAAATAAAATAAAGAGACAGCAACTGGAAGAGGTAGAAAATGAGGCACTGCATCATGCCAGACACTTCCAAGAGCTTGGCTGTGGAAGACAAAGGCACATTGAGTTTCCTTACCAAAAGATGGTGCTGTCTATACATTTTGATGCTGTTGCCTCATTATCAGTGTGTTGTTCTCATGATTTGGGAAAAGGTGAATGAGTAGATGGAACTGTTGGAGCTGTGCTAACTGGGGCAGCAGCAGCTCTCTGGTGATTGACTACGCAGCTGCCCCACGTTGCTCTCAGGGCCAGCTCTGAATGAGCTTGGTGATGCTGGCCAGAGCTGGAGTGCTCTGTGTCCATGGGATAAGCCCAGGGTGACTCTGGTTATGTGGAGTTACTGCTGCTTTGCAGGAGAACCCAAAGGCAGAACTTGTCCTGTTGTATTTTTTTGACTTCTGCCATTCAGCAGCACAAAGCATCTTCTGCCTTTTCTGGGTGTTAATTGCATCATGAGACAATAACTCACAAGAAGGGAAGATTTTGCTATTATATTTCCATTTTGCTTTCTTGCTGCTGCAGGTGAAACTCATTAACCAAGGAGTTCTTGATGCTCCCTTTGTCTATATCCCTTCAACCACAAATGTGGGCTGCTGTTTCAAGTTTACACCCGAGAAGGGTGTCATTGAACCAGGTGGGATCCAGACTATTCAGATCTCCTTCAGTGCCACCATACTGGGGGTGTTTGAGGAACAATTCCATTTCAGTGTGTCTGAATCTCCTACGCCTGTGATCCTGACAATTGGGTAAGGACTCTGGGAACTTGCTGGGCACATCTGTAGCTGTCTCTGGGACATCCCCCACCTACCTCATTTTGGGGTTGAGCAGAGGAAAAAGGTGTTTCCTGAGGTCTTAATCTCTGCTCTGATCCTTGCATTGCCTTAGTGTGAGGATGCCTGCTGCCCTATGTGGTATGTGGGAGCTGGATTGACTCCTCCCTGCAGGGATCTCCCTCTGCCTTGGGCCATGGCAGGCAGTGGGATGGATCAGCTTTGGGCAGTAGCTGCTCTGGGCTGTCCCACCTGAACACCCAGCAAAGCTCCCAGGGCTTTGGAGATGGGCCAGCCTGGGTGATTCTGCACCAGCAGCAGTGTTTTTAGAAACTTCTGCTCATAATCCATCCCAAATGGGCAGCAGCAGCCTCACCTCACCTGTCATGGCCATGCTGTGGGGGACAAGCTGTGCTCCCAACTCCTGTGCAGAGAGTGCTCCAGTACCTCCTGTCCACAGCCAGGAAAGGGCTGGGAGACAGGGAACTGTGCAGCAGGAATGTGCCAAGGACATGGGCATCATCCCATGGGCTGGTGCCTTTGCAAGAGATCATCCTGGCCCAGCAAAGGGAGAAGGGGTGATAATAGGGGAGGCAGAGCTCAGTTCCACAGCAGCACGAGGGATTGTCCCTGCTAGCCTGAGCCATGGGCTGCTAGGATAACGTCATGCAAGCAGGAAAGCTGATGCTGGCTGCTCTGGAGCTTTGCAGCTAGGCTGCTGCTGTTGGGAGGCACTGGATCAAGGCAGTAAAGAAATGAAAGCAATCCACAGTTGATTATACCAATAAGATAAGGGAGATGGATAAAAAAGAACAAGAAAATTATTACTTAGCAAGACAAGAGTGGTGAGTAGGTCTGCCCATGGTAGAGAAACAATTATGCTGGCTTTGTTTTTGGAGGAAAAGTGCTGCTTTTTTATTTTGGAAATCAAGAGGGAACCTTTCATCATCACTGGTGACAAGCTGGTCTTTTCTCTAAACTCTGTCTGTAATGATTGCGTGGGTCAAAATCTCCTGAGAAAGCTCCTCCATGGGATCACGAGTTTGAGCTAAGAAGTAGCAAAGCAGGGAGCCCGTGGCTGGAAAGGCTGGTTACAGAAGTTTGTGGGGACACCTTTATGTCCATTACATTACAGATGGGGAAACTGAGGCAATGGAGCCATGTCTAGGTGTGTGTTCAGGGTCCACCAGCAACTCGGGGGGCTTTTCCTGCCTGCCCTGTGCACAAAGCCCCACCAGTGGCTGTTGGCTGCCGGCCACTTGGCTTTAGCTGCCTCCTGCCCACACGGACACTGTGCTGAGCACATGGTGCTGTGTTGATTTGAAGCCCACGGTGCCCCTGACCCCAGGCTTTATGTCCCCGAGCCAGGGCTGCCACACGCTTTGTGACTCCCTTTAACCGAGGCTTTTCCTCCTGCTCTGTGCTCGTCATCGCAGGGGCTGTGTCAGTGGACCGACTTTACACTTCGACGTCGGTGAGCTCCACTTCGGTGACATCTCCTTCGGTGAGTGTTCCCTGGGCTTGGGCACAGCGTGAGGGATCTGTGTGTTCCAGAATGGACCACTTGAACATAAAAACATCCATCACTCGTCTTCTGCCACAGCAGCCTCTTCAGGCTGGGAACTCCAGGACTGCTGGTGCCTCAGGTAGCATTTTGCCATTGTGAGATCAAATAGGACCAAGGAACAGAAACCCAGTATTTTCTGGTGTTTCTGTCCTGATTTAAAAGACAGATGTCTGCCAAGGAAGGTGGGAATCTTCCTGGAATGGAAAGATGACCCCCTCCATCCAAATTATTATACCTTTGAAATTACAGGGCTTCCAGGCAAAAATATGGGGAAAGGANTTGCCTTTTGAATAAATGAAACAAGAAAGGCAACAGGTAGAAATATGATTCTGTAACAGGAGATTCATCCTACTTAATCCAATTTCATTCCTAAGGTTTCTTCAGCTGAAGGCAGCTGTTTTATCTTTGCTTCTTTTTAACTGCTGACTGTTGTCTGCGTGTGGTGGCCTCAGTCTGTTTGGCCCAAACCAAGAGATGCCTTAAGGATCCTGCAGAGAGAAACTGCATTAGGGAGCTTTGCATCATGTTCTAGCTCCTGATTCCATGCTCACTTTCTTTTGCTGTAGCTTCTTCTCAATGCTGACTCACTGTTTATATATCTTGAAAACAGAGGGAGCATTGGCAGACTTAACAGGGAATTTTACAGCTTGAATTTTCAGAGCAAATGCTCGGTCTGGATGCACACTCATCAGAGGCAAATAACTGATGCTGGTTTGGGGCAGGTGAGGGAGCTCCTCCCCATCAGAAAGAGAGAAGCTTGGAGTGCTCAGCAGGGCTAAGAGTGGGCATTTTCAAGGCTAAAGTTTGGAATCAGTGTCAAAGCGAACTAAGTGACGATAATTCCTCATGCAGCTTCTCGGTGAGCTGAAGTTCAGATAGTAAAGAGCTAAACTCCAGTCACACTTTCATCCTACCAGGATATCCACATCAGGAGTCACGACACAATTGGTGGCTAAATGGATATTTGTGTCCTTTTCCTAGGCTTTCCCCACACCATGACCTGTCGCCTCACTAACACCTCCCCGGTGTCCGTGACGTACAAGCTCCGCATGTCAGACGATGGCACGCAGCCTGCTGTCAGCAGCTTTGATCAAATCTGCAAGGAAGGTGACCCATCGTGGAGGAAGGGAATTCATTTTTATGTGGAGCCAAGGGAGTTTACAATGAATCCCAGCCAAGGGACCATCCTCCCCCAGGGACACCAGGATATCGAGGTATGGAAAGAGTCCAGCCATACACGCTTCAGCACCAGGGCTGAAGCCTCACTGGAGTGTGGGAGTGCTTTAGCTCTGATACCAGCTTTGAGCACGGTGTGAGTGAGAGATCTGCACTGGCCTGAGGCCTCTGTCAGCTGGATAACTCGGGATGTTCCTGAAGGAGCACTGTTTTGTTCCCAAAATCACAAGCTGAAATCAGGTACCAGATGGTCAAGTACTGGAGCCATTCTTGTGTTTTTGAGAGTGATTTCTTTGACTGAAAGCAGGCAGAGGAAGGATGAGGACAGAAGGCTGCTGTTTGTGAGATATCATTTTATAAAGCAGTTCACTTTTCTTCTTGGTCTCGTATCTCCTCTCCTGGGGAGCAGAATGATTTGTGTTCACTGCAGGGATCTTCAGTGGAGACAAAAACTCTTCAGTCATGAACTGCCCAGCACCTGCTGGGCCACACTTTGCCCTCAGCTTCCTGCTGTAAATCTGAACTCATTCTGTCCAAGTCAGCAGATTTCCTCTGCATTTATGTCATTGTAGTCAAATGAAAAATTGTCCCTTTAATTTGAATACAGTGGTTCATAGAGCTTTAGCCTAATGTTTTAATTCAGCTGACCTATGCCATGATAGCAAGGTGTGTTTAACAAATCTGGTATTGCCAAAAGGCTTTTGTTACTCTCAGAGACTGTGCTCTACACATAGACCAGCAGAAGAATTAAGGCAAAATCCTCCCTTTTCTTACCATGAAACAAGAACTGGGTAATGAGCTTTTGTAAGGAAAAATTTACTGCTCTCCTCTACCACCAGGTGACCCTGTGTTCCAACACAGTGATGGAATACTACCGGAAAATGCTGGTGGACCTGGTGGGCCTGGAGGGTATTGGCAAGGAAGTGGCATCAGTGATCATCTCAGCCAGGTACCTGCACTTCCCTGGCCTCTCCCAGCACACTGCCTGGCACAGGGTTTGCTGGCTGCAGCTCCCAAGGGAAGTGTTGTTTAATGTTCTCATGTTGTGAGCAGCTGGACATGAGAACAGCAGTGCTTGGAAAGCAGCCTGTGGTGAAAAGCACCCCTGCTCACAGCCCAGCACAGTCCTGGGCCTTATTCTAGAGGGACCAGGAATGGTATCATTTATCATGGCCTGATTTTTGGTGCTTGAGCTGGAACAAATTTCCCGAGGGCCTCCTCTCCTTCTTCCTGCAAGAGATGGAGTTGTGCTGGCTTGTGAGCACCCTACATTAGTTTGGGACACACCAAGCAGCCTGCTGAGAGTCAGGGTCTGGTTCTGTTCATGAGGGCACGTGACAGTGGGGAAGTGGCTCACAGCCAGAGTGGGGAGAGCAAGATCTTAAGACGGGAAAACAGCCCCTGATGTGGCAGGTCAGCTCTAGTTTTTCTCCTTCCCTCTGCTTCCCATTTTGATCTTTAATGTTCTCGACTTAAACCAAAAGTTGTTCTTGCTGCAGCAGAATCCCATCCTGCCGTGCTGCTGTGGGCGTCAGTTTATTGACAAGAGGGATGCAGTTCCCTGGTGCTGGTCCCTCTCCCAGGCAGAGCCATGCAGTCAGTGCCTGGGCTGCAGTTTTGTCAAGCAAGTGCCAATGGGGAGTGCATGGACCTGTGAAGGACTGAGGGAGCTGTAGGAACTGGGAGGGGGTGATCACCCACTCTGTAGGGCAGGTGGTGTCCCATGCCCTCCAAAGCTGGGGCAAACAGCTGAGTTTTCAGGTAGGGCAACAGCCCCGTGGGAGAGAAGGGAGTCATTTTTACTGAGACACTGGAGTCATGTGTTCCTTGAGCCTTAGTGAGCACTGATCCTTGTTGGGAAGGCTCCTCCAGAGCTCATGGATCACTAGGACTGTTACAGGAGTCCTTGCAAGCCTTCTGGGGTAAAGGAGAGGCTGAGGCAGCTGTAGGACAAAGTGCTCTGCCTGGAGCACTTGGCAGCCTCCAGGTGCTGCCTCTCAGGGTTTGCCCCTCCTTGACAAGATGTGTTGGAGTGGGAAGACTTTGAAGGCAGTTTATCACTCTACAGTGATTTGATGGTTGTTAAATGTCTGTTTGACAGTGACAAATGTGTTATCTTGGGGGTAAATGTTCTCTGTTCTCCCAGTATCTCTGATTCCCTTGGGGTCATCTCTTTTTCCCAGCTGTCTGGTTCCTGAGCTGAAAGTGTACCCCCAACTCATGCGGTGCAATAAGTGCCACCTGAAGGAGCCATATGAGAAGAAGTTCATCATTATGAATAAAACCGACATTCCTGGCTGCTACGGGCTTATCCCCCAGGTTTGGCATTGCATCCACCTCCTCCTCTCAAATATTATTGAGGAGATTATCAGGGGAAAAAAGGGTTTGGATAAGACTTCGCTGGTTTCTATTCAGTCTTACTCAGATCTGCTGAGAACAGGATCCTACCTGAATGTAAACTTTAGGAGGCAGTTTAACCTCCCGAGGAAACAGTTTCTAGTCTTCAGGGTGTTTTCTCGTGGGAGATCTTAGAGGGTTGTGAAAAGCTGCTGCATCCACAGTCACCAACACCTGTGCTGGCAGCCTCCTTGCAGGACCCCCTGAGAATGCTAAGCCTGCGATTTTTGCATCTTGTTTGTGTCTTTTACCTTTGTCCTGGGGATTTTTAAAACGTGTGTAAGTTGCTGTTGCAGTGCATGTTAAGGAGTTTAATTCAGAGGTCCCTCTGAAATTGCATTTGATTGTGTCCCTTCTAGAAACGCAAGGAGGACTCTCCTGTGTTGTACTCCAGCCCCAAACCCTGTGGCATTGTCCAGCCTCGCAGCACTGCAGAGATTCCGGTTACGATCGAAGTCCAAACATTGGGCGATCATCGCACCAAGGTTCTTATTGGCGTGTTTGGGGATGAAAGAAGCCCACTGGTGAGTGCAAGGGGAAAGGGGAGATGTGTGCCTTTGTGCAGCTCCTCCTGGCAGGGTGCAGAGTGTGCAGGGATTCTTCTGGGGAAAATGGGCACAGGCTGGAGAAGGACAGAAGGGATTGGTGGCATAAACAGCTCATGCTTTATAGGTGGCAGTCTGTGTCCAATGCAGAATGTAGTTCATCTAAGATGGAACTGAATATAATTTTAGTTAATTAATCTTTCAAATGCTATTAATTTTGGAAACATCTGCTTTAAAATGTCTTGTCATCTCTCTGAGCACAAAAGAGGACGTCAGAAGACTTCTGGGAACCTTGAGGTTTCTGCAAAAGAAAGGAAAGCTGGCATTTGAAAAGTAGTTGGAACTACTTTTTTTAACTTTTATTTAAACATATGGAAATGATGATACCAAATTCCATGGATGGCACCAAACATCTCAACCTGGGCCATTGTGGCACTGCATATAAATCAGTCAACAGGAAGGCCAGGCAGTGCAGGCTGTGCCAGGAATCCTGAAGTTTGACAGAACAGTTGTTTTCAACTGTCAGGCTGCTTACCTTAGAGAGGAAGAGTTTCTCCCCACCAGAATAACCAGTTGTTTAACTGTCAGTCTGGTCTTAACTAGAGATTTCTTGCAAAGCTCTTATCTTTGGGCAAATCATTTGTAGTTTGAAAGTTTCTCTTCCTTTAATCCTTTTTAATTTGGAGGCGAATATATATATATATTTTTTTTTCTCCAAAAGCCCAGCATTTCAGCTGGAGAGTGGTAGCTGTCCGTAAAGAAATAATTGAGCAGGGTTGAGCTGTTTAAATTTCATTAAGTTTTCCTGTTGTGGTTTGTTTTGGGTTTTTTTTTAATCTTTCTTGCCTGCTTCCTGGAACAGAGAGCAGAAATACTGAGCTCTGGACAGCTGGCAGAAATCTACGGAACTCCAAGGGTGATACAGTTCGGCATGATCCCGGCTCTACAGCCTAATCCACAAAGTCTTACCCTCTTCAACAAAGGTCTTGTCCCTACAGAATTCAGGATAGAGATCGTAAGTATCTGTGGGGCTGTTTTCCAGGGAAATTGACTGGTCACTAGCAGCCATGACTTGGTTTTTATATGCAAGATTTCCATAAGACCCTGTGTGAGAGGAGGTGAGATTCTCCAATATTCCATCTGAACAAGGCAAGAGGAACCTGGCTCTGGAGTGGTTTTAGCTGGGGCACCCCTCAGTGAAACCAGGTGCAGAGATGTTGGAGCAGAAATTAGTCTGGATTGTGTTGACAAGTTCTCCCTTAGTTTTATGGAAGATCTGTATCTGTGCGTACATCACATTTTTGGAGCTCTGAGATCAAGAGAAACCTGTGGTACTTTGCTCTCCAGAGAGTATGGATTTCCTTATGGTTTCCCTGTTCTATCTACATTTGCTTTGTGCCAAACTGCTGTTCATAGTAGGGAGCAGGGTGTGAGATCTGTCCTCAGACTGCTTGTGGGGAGGCAATTGTCACACCTCCTGTGGGCCAAGCCAGCTGGGCTGCCCACACAGAGACGTGGGGGTTGTGCACCCTCACAGCCTGTGATCTCTGTGCTGTTGAAGAGCATCTTTGGGGACCAGCTGCAGGGAAAGGCTGTTTAATACGTGGAGGCTGCATAGGGCAGAAGGAGCAGGGCTGGTGCAGCCAGGAAGGGCTTGTAGGCTGGGGCTGGGTGTCTGCTGGAAGGGGAGATTTATGAGGGGCTTGAGGTTTGTGCTTCTTCATGCTGGGTGTGTTGAACTTGTGGAGCTGCTTAAAACCTGATACTATGGACTTGTTTGTGTTTGTGGATAAAGCATCAGGGCACGTGGCAGAGTCTAGTCACAGCCTCCTGGGCCAAGGAGGAGCAGGGTGAATTTTCCTCTTGCTGCTTTCCCAGCTGTTTGGGGGATAAATGTAACCTCAAAGTGAGGGATTTTTCCAGGACAGCTTTCTCTAACTCCACAATGAAATGCTGCTTTCAGCCTCTGCAGGGAGCAGTGCACCTTGACTGGGTGGTCGTGGTGTGTAAATGATGGGTTTCACATGCTCGTACCAGAGCCGGACTTGCAGAGCTGTGTCTGTACAGCTGTGCTGGTGCAAGACCTTTCTTCCCTCCTTTGGGCAGCTTCCAGCTCTCTTGCCCAATCCATGGAGTCCACGAGAAAGCAGATGACAAGGGCTCTTGGGAAGAGTGGACCATGCCCACAGAGCACATGTCATCCAGTTTTCTTTCTGCTTCCTGCTTTCCTGCTTTGCTATAACCATTTTGAGGTGGCTTTTCCAAAGCAGAGGGCACTGGGGCACCTCTCTACAGCTGATGGTCAGTAGGAAGTGAGGGCTTCAATCCTTCAGGGGATCTTGAGGAGCATTGATGGCCCCTTGGGAAGGAGTAGTTTGGTGTTGGAGTTTTGCTCAACTGGTTTTGCAGAGATATTCTTCAGGCTCTCAGCAGTGTCTTCCAGCTGTGTGGTTTCTGGAGTGGGATTTGAGCAGTCATGACTTCCTCTGGCCTTGAGCCTTTGTGAGAAGCCAGGAGAGAGAAAGCAGCTTTCCTTGGCAGACACTCCAGAGCAAGACTGGGGAAGGAACACTCTCCTGAGGATAAGTGTCCCTTGGGTTGGGCAAAACTGGGTTAATTAGGTGAGTCTGTTAAAGGAGGGGAAAATACAGGTTGTATGAGCTCTGCTGTTGCCTGATAGTGTAGCTTAAATTTAGGGGAATGAAGCCTTTATGATTTTTATCCTCCCCTCTTCAGTCTGTCCTTTTATTATATCCCACAAGGGACCAGAGTGTATGGTTTCCATCCTAAATGCATATTATGCTTGTCTTACAGCTTTATAAACCCCAGTGCTTTGTTATTGAGCCCAAAGAAGGAGTGATCCCTGCTAGGGGTGAAGTTCCTGTGACTGTCACAGCAATCCTGGATGACGTTGGGATTTTTGATGACTCTATGCAGCTGTTCATTAGGAACAGCCTTTGGGCCCTCTTTGTACTGAAGGCTGTGAGCACTGGCACCACAATTGTCATAGACAAACCATTTGCCCCGGAGCTCAACTTGGGATACCAATTCAGGTAGGAGATCTCTCCTCTCCCACCTCTCCTTCTGTCTCAACAAGGAGTAGTTTTGCTGTAGTCATTCAGGCAAAATCTTCTGTAGTGTTCCAATCCCTGACTCCTTCCCTGAAGGCAGATTCCTTCAGAAACGTGTGGTGGCTAGTGGAGAGTTGTTAGATACCCTCAAAAGTCACTGAAAGGGAAACCAGTTGCTAAATGGCCACTGAATTGTCTTTACTTGTAATACATTTATGTCCTCACTTGATCAAGCAGTGGTGTCACAGCTCCCCCAGAAGAAAAGGTTCCCAAAATGGCGCCCGGGTGAGGCGGTCCCTCCGTGGGGCTGAGGGACCAAGGGCAGATGGCCTCACAGCCTTCCCTTCTGAAATGGCACTTCCCAGGCAAGCAGGGCCCGGGAACAGAGAGACAGGAGGGCACCAACCCCCCCCAGGAAGGCAGGAGCCCCCAGAGCAGTTCCAGGGCCAGATGGAAACTGCTGCTTTGTGTGGGGCCCGCACTGCCACTGCCGCTTCCTCCTGCTGTTCCTGGGCCCTGCTGCTGCCCTGCTGTGCCCAGGGCCTCGATGGCTTTTTTGCTGCCAGCAGAGTTTGCAAAGTTCACTTTGAAACAGTTTCTAATTGCAAAATGAAGTTCTACAAATGGCTCTCAGTGCAAAACCAAAGCTGCTACCAAGGGGAGAGGCCCTGCTGCCCTGATTTCCTCTCCTGGAGCAGGCAGACAATTTTTACCAGCTTGCTGGCATCATCCAGAAACTGCCTCCGATCTGGCTTTTAAAAATGCCTGCAATCATACCCCCACACACAAGGTCCCCAAGTGCAGCATCTCAAAAGATTCAGTAACAGTTTTGGGTGCAGATTAATACAAAATACAGTAACAGTATGAATCACCACAGAATAAATATTTTGGAGGAAAACACCAGGTCTGTTAGCCCCACCTGGAAAATACTCCATTACCATTACAAATACATTTCTCTTTGCAATAATGACATCAGAAGGGCAGTTTATCAGACACTGTTTCTGGTCCACATTAAGAGCTGGAAATGAAGACAGTCTCCAAGTTATTAACACAAGTTATTAACCAGGGAAATTGCTACTCCCATACTATTTTCCATCCTGGCTTCTATTCTAGCCGCGTTCCCTGTATTCGTCGGCTCAAATTAACAAACAGAGGCCAACATTTCCAACGGCTTCTCTGGAGAGTGGAATGCTACAGACCACCCAAGAAGAAGTGCAAGAGCGTCTCAGCCCTCAGTAGCTCCAAGACCAAAGATGATTCTGAGACCCCCAAGCGTACCACCCCCGTGTTTGGGCTGGAGCCAGGGTCAAAGCACCTGTACCCAGGCGAGTCTGTGGACGTGGTGCTGCGAGGCTTCTCCCACATCCCACAGGTGAGGTCCCCACCAAGGGCTGAGCCTGGGGAACCATCAGATCCCCTCCCCTGGGCTTGTTCCACAGTCCCTTGACATTTGCCTGGGGAAATGAGCCTTCAAGAAGCTGGTTTAAGACCACACATTTCTGTGGCAGCACCAATTGCTTTCCATGCTGGCCACCATCAGACCAGCTAAGGCTTTATTGTGATTCCACAGCTACCAAAACTATCAAGTGCTGATCCCAAAGTAGGGGTGGAAGGAAATATTGCTCTTTTGAGGCAAACAGTGTTGCATGCTTAGTCAGAAAAGAAGGGCATGGAAATAAATTACACTTGGACTAGGAGCCCAAAAAGAAAGTGAATTAAGTGCCAAATCGTTTATCTGGGGTAAACACAGATAAAACAAAAGCCATGTGAAGGGAGGGAAGTTCTCACAAGTGCCTTTTGTGGGCATTGGGGTGCAGTGTTACAGACAGCTGAATGCAGAATAAATAAGCTGCATCATGGGAAGAAAAGGGGGCAGTGACCACTGTAACTCTGTGGCAGGAATAGGGCCTGTGGTGGGTGCTGAGCCAATGCAGGGCATTTGCTGGTGCCCTGCCACCATCCACTGGTGACAAGTGACTCTTGCATGCAGGAGGTGCAGGAGTATGCGGAGTGTGAAGCTGCCATTGGGACAAGCACCATGACGAAGAAGATAATAAAAGCAATCATTACCTGCAAGTTTATTGATCCCTCTATAGAAGTATCAGCCAGAAAATTCTCCTTCCGGGTGGAGAAGGTAAGTCTCTGGATTGCATCCTGGCATTTAGCAGCATGGCTGAGAGTGGGGCGTGCTTGGTTAAAGCCCTTCTTTGCCCTTCCTGAGGCACTTTGTAAAGTGAGTGAAGATGCTTTTAGAGATGAGACTGGTATTTAACTTCCCCAAAGTAGAATTTCAGTTACAGCTGCACTGCCAAGTAGGTTGTGGCCACTTCCAGAGAAATGACAGTTTCTCTGCTGACTGTAAAGGGCGGTTTTTGAGGATCCTCCAAGGCACGGTGATGTCTGTATACCAATTACACCGATGCTGTAGGGATGCTGGGGAAAAATGGAGGTTCCTGTGAATTCCTCAGGCTGACAGGAAAAACCCTTCATCTCCTGTGTCTCTTTGCCTTCTCTGCTGCTGGCATGGATGCTTTATGGTATAGCTATAAGGTATAGCTCTGTGCATTTCCCTTGGCCTCACCTGCTTCAAAGGACCCCCAGACATCCTGCAGCTGCAGTGATGATAACACTGAGGCAGAGCAGGTGCCCTTTCATCTCTGGATCCCAGCTCCAGCATTATCTTTCCCTCTCCTGCAATTTGTCTGAAAATGAGAAGATGTTTCATGATTTGGATTCTGTAGTTTCAGGCCTCTCCTCTGGTTCCCAGGCTTCCACTGAAGTAGAATCCCTGGAACAGGCAGTTCAGATGTAATACAGAAGCTTTTCAGCTCTCCCTGATTCTGCCTGGGTTCTGCTCAATGCCACACACACAACTAATTTATTGCATACTATGGCACAGCACCTGTTTGATATCAGTACATCCAAAACTAGTTTCCCAAACTCTCTGGTTTCTCTAAAGCATGCAGGAAGCCCAGCACAATGAACAGATAGGAAGGAAGAGCCTAGGCTGATCATAGCTTTGAGACCACACACACCTTGTCCCTGTAGCAGGGGCTGCAGGACACGTGTTGCAAACTAACTGCTTTTACGAGGCTGCTAGAGCCAATAAGGTTGTAAGAAATGACAGCATGTGAGTGAAGATCATCCAGTGCTGTTCTGCCCAATAGAGAGACAAAACTGGAGACAAATGGCCTGGATTCACTTTCTGCTTTAGACTTTGTTCAAGCAGCTGCCTCCTCTTAGGGGCCTATTCCCTCATCTGTTCATGGGAGTGTTGCCCTGTCCCCCAGAGGATGCTGTGGTTTCTAAACATGAAAAGCACCTGCTATAAAGAGAAATCTCCCGGAAGGGTAGAAACAAATAGAAGGGGTAAACAGACATGTATGCACTTCTGGGGCTGAAAAATGCAAGATGCAGCAGAAGCAGAAGGAGATCTATGGCTAATTAAGGCTGTTTTTCCTTGTTTCCATAGAAACCAAATGATGTCCTAACTCTGCAGTACAAGCCTTTGACTTTAAGAAACACCTGCTCCCTGCCGCTCGACCTCATGCTGTACTTGGAGCAGCCGTTTATGGTCTGCAGTGTGGACCAGCAGCCCCTCCCAGATGGCCAGGTGAGCAGCCCTGGACTCCTCCAGTGGGGCTGGAACAGGAGGGATGTGGTTGGTGCCTTTCTGTTGGGAGGCCCTTGAGTCAACAAGTTTATTGTGTAGCATCAGCAGTGGGCTGGCCTGAGCTGCATCAGCAGAGCTGCTGAAAGAGTCAAAATCTTACCTGAATTGAGAAGATCTATCCTGGCTTTAAGGCACAAGGAGGAGGGAGCAGGCAGCTAGGCCTGGACATGCCATGCAGTAAAGGTGTCTCCTGGAGAGCATCCCAGCTCTCCATCCCCTTGTATTGCTACTGAGCAGAGAAACGTGAGCCTGAGGGAATCCTGGACTGAACTGTGGTGCCTGCAGCCAGACCCTTGCTGTAAAGAAATGAACAATGAACTGAGAAGCCCATACTGGGGTCACACTTCGAGTATTTACTGTTTATGACATTTACTATTTTCATGCTGTCAAGACCTTGGGAATTAATCATGCTACAGGTGATTAATTACTGTTCATCTCCTCGCAGCCTGTGAGAGTGGGTGTAGGACAGACCTGTCATCTCTACATTGCGTTTGACCCAGCTTATAATCTGGATTTTAATAGCTGGAAAGAAAAGAAGGTTCTGAAGATAAATATGGTCAGGAGCCATCGTTATGTGGAGCATATCATCCTTTGGGGAGAAGCCCACTTCCCAAATCTCCAAATCCAGCCCAGCACCCTGGAGTTTGGCTGCATTGTGGCTGGAACTGAAACAGTGCATTCTCTGAAGATGACCAACTGCAGCCCCCTTCCTGTCAAGTACCACTGGTCATTCCAGGCAGACAGCCAGGTGTACAAGTTCAGGTATGTGCACCTTTGCCCTCTCCTCTTCTTCCTGGTGTGCTGTTTGTACTTTGCAAAGAACAAAGCTGTTTGCCTAGGACCTGACAAACTGCTTCTGTCTTCTCCTTGTGCAAATAACACTGACCAGCTGTGGTCAGGCTGCATGCTCAGGGAATAGGTTTTCCACCAGTTTGGTGCTGCGTAGCCCCCATAATGGTTTTCCCTGGGAAGGAAAGCTGGGGCAAAAGCTGCTTTCTCAGACCTCTGTGGCCTGAGGCGATGTCCACCTTGATGAAGGGCTCCTAATCCCAGCTCCCACAGTGATGCTGGAGGCCCTTTTGGGGATGCCCTTTGGGGGATGCCCTTTTGGCCCCTCTGCTTTGGGATGGGTCCTCTCTGCAGGAGCTGCTCGCTGCTCCTTGCCCTCCTCCCTTGCCTTGTGCTGGAGGATGCCCAGAAAGTCCCAACAACAGAGAAAGAGCTACTTAGAGCTCTAAGGAGAGCTACTTAGCGCTAAACATCCTGTTTCCTTCCCTTTCCTTCTTTTCTGAGACAACTCCTTTAGTGCCAGGACAATTCCTTTCCCAGGGGTCAGCTTTCAGTGGACACCTTGGATTCTTCACTCCCTTTTTTGTGACACTTGTTACTCATTTTGACTTTTCCCCATTGCAACATGTCTCTTATGGGTTCTGTACTGCTGGACAGCAGGACTTGTTCATCACATTATCTCCTATCCCTGCCTCCCAGAGTTTCTACTTTGGAGTGAAAATGTAATTGTCTGGGCACTGTGGTCCTGAGAACCATTGCCTCAAACCATTCATTAAAACCAGACAGTGGAATAGATGATTAGGGATCTCTTGGGGGTTATGATAAGAGAGCTCCTCATCCAGAAATGAAACCCAGCCTTAGGTAAGAAGCTGCAAAGCTAAAGACAGTTATTATTTGGGGAGCAGGTCATGAGTTCATGGCTCATGAACACACCTCAGAGTGATGTGAAATGGGAGAAGGGCATGATGGCAGAGTTTTCCAGGCAGCTGGCATCAGGGGAATGAAAAGCCATGAGAAATGTGTTTTGTTGTGGAGAACTCTCAATAGAAAGAAAAAAGAAGACTCATTTTCTCTACAAAGACTGATGAAAAGACTATAGCAAAGTTAAGACTGCTTTAAACACCAGGTTTTGTCTCTATGTTGTCAGTTAGAAAGAGAATGGTTGAGTAGTGAAAGAAAGGTTTCTAGAAGTTTTATTCTGGTTTCTTGTTCATGTAGTTTTGTTAATAAACCTTCTTTATTCCTTTTAAGTTTTAAGCCTGTTTTTCCCTTCTCCTAATCTATATCTCACAGCAAGAAATAAGTAAGTTTTCTAGTAATTTTTTTAGCTAGTGCTTTAAAACCACGACAAGGTCCCTGCTCACAGTTATGTTATTTTCCAGATATGGGCCTAACCCACATAAAGTCAAACCCCAACCACCAAAGGTGAAGAGCACCTGTTTGGATTGCTCAGCATCTGGAAATGAGGAGGAGCCAGACACCATGAAAAAAGCACGGCATCTTCTCCAATGTTTAGCATCAAAGGTAGATTTTCTTGTACACCTACTGCTTGTGTTGCCTCCCCAGCTTGGACCAACAAGTCATGCTCGTGCTGACATCCCTTTTTGCTGCCCTTCTGTCCTGTGCCCTGAGAGTGGGCTGGGCAGCACAGCCTGTGGCTGGACATGGGGTATGTNGAGTGAGTGCAGTTGTTTCATTTGCTGCTCACTGCTTGCACAGAGAGAGGATGCAACGCTGTGTGCTCTGCAAGGAGACAGAAAAGCGTCTGGCTGGAAATGTTTATCTGGCTAATAGCAGTCCCTCTCTTCCCAGCATTCCTAACCTGGAGCCGAGTCACAGGAGGGTGCGGGTGATTCTGAAGGGCAGAGCCCGGGACCAGAAGAGTTTTGATAGAGAGAAACGCTCTGCCTTACGGCAGGCAGAGGAAGGCCAGAGACCCAAGAAGCAGGTGCGCTGGCAGCCAACACCCGAGTGACAACATTTGTGTCAGCTGGAGCATCCAGCAGGAGCTGGCAACATCTTGTTTGCTGCTGCTGATGGTCTCCCACCTCCTACCTGAGACCTCTGCAGCCACCCTCTCAAGCTCCAGCTCCACCTCCTCATTATCATTTAACTAACCAATTGTTAGTTAAATGGTAATTAACTATTAATCACTGTTCATTAAACAGTTGTTCACAGATCGCTGTCAGCCTGTTTTGTTTGCAAAGACAGGTGTCTGCCTGACCTCTCTGGAATGGAGAATGTGACCCCCTTCCCTCCAAATTATTATAACTTTGAAATTAAGGGCCCTTCAGGCAAAGATATGGGAAAAGGAGCAACACTTCTTTACTACTATGTGTAACAAGGCAAACAAACAACGCTGGCAGCAACAACAAACAGAACCAAATACCAAACCACAGCCTTCTCTCGGCTGCAGGCACTTTCCCTTTGGTGTAGTTCCAGTCGCAGTTGGGCAGGGAAGGGAGACAAATAATGAATAAAGCAATTGCTGGAGAAATTTTAATTAAGCTACACCAAGGAATACACTGGACAGCTCAAGCACTGTGTCATCAATTCTTAAGAACTTGTTGCTGTGAGGCATTCTATACAGCAGCCAAATAGTGACTGAACAATACTCCATTTGTTACAAGATAAATAAGAAAGTGATGAGAAAACACCCTAGTGAGGGAAGAGACCTAGTCCTTAGATCCTTTCAAAATATGCAGATGGATCACACTGAATTCCCCAAAATACTGAGATAGAAATATCTTCTTGTAACAGTTGATCACCTCACCCACTGGGCGGGCAGAAGCCTTTCCTACCTCAACTACCTCCAAAGTGGCTAAGATGAATGTATGCTATCCTTAATAACCACATTGCCAAATTAATGACTGAAACCAGATTAGCATTATTATGGATCAGAACTGCTCCAAGGAAAGACATAGGAGTTTCTCCCTATGAAATGTTATTTTGGTTACCTTATCTGGGAAGGGAGGAAGGGTTGCCAATGGCTGAAACTAATGACTAATGACTCTCAGAAGTTATTCGCAGGCAATTACACTTTCTCTCAGGGATCTTAGAAGAAAAGGGATGTTACCCCCACCATCACCTCTAGACTTTCATTACACCAGGTAAAACCAGGAGATTTGCTTCTAATAAAATCTAGGAAAGATGATACCTTAACCACCAGCATGGGAAGGTCCCTTTCAGGCAGTTTCAACAGCTGAAACATTTACAGCAGAAAAGGAGTGGTCTCACGCATCTGGTGTCAAAGGACCAGTGGAAGCTCTTCCCCAAACTTGGACAGTGGTACAGGGAAGTGACCCTTTAAAGTTAACCTTCAAATGATGATTTAATAGTAAACAGTCAAGGGCAATATTGGACAACCTCTGTATCTGCCAGCAGAGAGACTTTTGCTCCGCTGTGGGCTCTGCAATCCCTTGGGGGTTGAGCAGTGGGAATATAAATCATACCAGACCTTGACAAAAGAGGAGTAGGAAATGATGTTCTAAGACTCTGGAAATGTCTGGATGGAGTGTCACAGCTTCTGTGCATCATCTCTATATCCCTACAGTGTGCTGTTCTAGTGCACAGAACTTAGGAAGCAGATATGGATACTGAGGAAGGTAATCTTTGTTGCTGCACTTAGACCTGAGTTTTGCTTCAACCCAGCAAGCATGGATGGAACTGCTGATGGGAGACATTGCACACCAGTGTATCTACAACTTACTTTACTTGTGTTGGAGGAGAACTATGGATTGCAACGTGAGCTGACAACTCAGGAACTTTTAAGTATACTGAATTTAACACTGAACTAATAGAAGACTGATTAATCTTATCTATAACTACTTCACAAAAGGACTCAGTTTATGCTGACCAGACAGGATAATTAATCAAGAGTTTCAGCAAAATAGGATAATGAAAGGGTGGATCATGAGAGATGAGGTGATATTTTTCCTGAAGCCAAAAGGTTATTAGGTTGAAGAATGAACCGTGTTGGTTCTATGTGTTGTTTGCATTTATTCTGGTTGTTGAGTGTTGCTGTGAGCTGGGAGAGGGGTGGGGTTGAAGAAGTGACTAAAAAAGATGTATGATAAGGAGGGAGGGGACCATAAATTTACAGATGACACCAAGCTGGGAGCATGATCAGATGGAGGGCAGGAGGGCTCTGAAAAGGACTTGGACAGGCTGGATAGAGGGGCTGAGTCCAATATGAAGTTCAAAAGTTCTAGTGCTGAGTCCTGCACATTGGCCACAACCACCCCTGCAGTGCTACATGCTGGGGACAGAGTGGCTGGACAGTGCTCAGGCAGAAAGGGATCTGGGGATGCTGGTGACAGCTGGCTGAACATGAGCCAGCAGTGCCCAGCTGGCCAAGAAAGTCAATGGACCCTGGCCTGGATCAGGAATAGTGTGGCCAGCAGGAGCAGGGAGGTCATTCCTCCCCTCTTCTCAGCACTGGTGAGGCCACACCTCGAGTGCTGTGTCCAGTTCTGGGCCCTCATTTTAGGAAGGATGTTGAGATGCTTGAACACTTCCAGAGGAGGCAACAAGGCTGGTGAAGGGCCTGGAACACAAGCCCTGTGAGGAACGACTGAAGGACGTGGGGTGGTTTAGCCTAGAGAAAAGTTGACCTTATCACTCTCTACAACAGCCTGAAAGGTGGTTGTGGTCAGGAAGGGGTCAGTCTCTTCTCCCAAGCAACAGCTGGCAGAAGGAGAGGACACAGCTTTAAGCTGCATCAGGGGAAGTTTAGGTTAGACGTTAGAAAAAAATTCTTCACTGAAAGAGAGAGTGTGCACTGGAATTGTCTGCCCAGAGAGGTGGTAGAGTCGCCAACCCTGGAAATGTTTATAGGACTGGATGTGGCACTCAGTGCCATGGTTTAATTGATGAGGTCACACATTAGATTGTTGGTAGATTAGATATCTTAAAGGTTTTTTCCAACCTAATTCTGTGATTCTGGGATTCTATGAAAAGGTGGTGGTCGGAAGAGAATGTAAGTTCCCAAGTACCCATCCAATGGAAAAGGAGACACGGAGCGCTCCGGCCAGGAAAGGGTATAAAAAGAAGCCATTTTCTGGGAGGGTGTGTGTGTTTGTCTCTTGGGGAAGGGAGGCACAAACCTGCTTCAGCTGCATCATTACTAATTAAAGAGTTTTCTTTTGCTTCAGCAAGTTATCCCCATTGAATTGTATCTAAAAGTTAGTGCGTTTCTAACACCACAGAGGTGGAATAAGGTGACCTTTATGGTCCCTTCCATGTTCTATGATTCTGCGACTGGGCACGAATGCAGCACTTTCACGGGCTTTCTCCCACTGGGAGCTGCTCCGGTCCCGGTGTTCAGCCGGGACTGTGCGGAATCGATGGAGCGGAGCAAGATCAGCGCCAGCGCCTCACGTCTGGTGCAATGGGGCAATGGACAATGGGGCAATGGGGCCCTGCCTCGGGCAGGGAGCGAGCGGCGCCACACGGGCACGGCCGCAGGAGAAAGGGCAAAGAAGGGGAAAGGGAAGGATCAAACGCTGCCTGGCGGAGTCCCGTCGGTGCCGGGGCGGGCCGGGCAGGGCGCAGCCGGTGCCAGAGGCGGCGGAGCGAGAGGAGGAGCCGGG